GGCCACGCCCCGTCCGCCGTGGGGCGGAGCCTGGGGGGGGCGCCCTGCTCTCCGAAGTGCGGGTTCAGGTTCCTACCGCCGTAGGTGTGGGCGCTCGGGGTCTGGTGTCTCCATTTCGGCTCTGCCATTCGACTACCCCTGCTGACTTCTAGGGTTCTGTCGCTTAAAATTTTAATTTTCAGTCAAGTAGAGCTTTGTTTTTCAGAATGCAAGTCACAACCTGGTAGTGTGACAGATATCAATTTAACTGTAAGTGCTCCGCCTCCAGATTGCTCTGAGAGCACACTGGTCTCCTTTATGCCTTTTCATCTGATCTGCTGTCAAAATATTGAGGCTTTCACCCTTCCGTTCCCTTGCTTCCAAATCTGCTGCTAGTGATTTACAAGCGAAGCAAATCGTTTTGGGTATTAACTCGGCGTTTGTCAGACATTACAGTTGTTCTGATTAAAAATTAAACTAATCATCTCCCAGAAAAGAAATACAGTAGATTAAGGGAAAATAGAAGACGTAAGAGTGTATCATGCATAGTAAAGGTGCCCTGTTTTATAAAAAATGTTTTACATTTGAATATGTGAAAATAAGTTACGGGGCTCCCTCTCCCCAAAACATTGACCACATAGATATTGTTAAATTTTTTTACCATATGCCCACATGTGTATATTATTTATAAATCACGTGTGAGTACTACTCTGCTAATACATTTACATATATTATAAAACAAATACGAAAGCAGCATTTAAAGAGTATGAGATAAAAATAACGTTTCCTTCCCATACCCCACTGGGTGGTCTCGCTCACTATCTAGGGTACGCATCCCACTTTGGAGGCTCCGGTGTCTCCCAATTTCTGCTTTGGTTTCGAACTTTTGAAGAGCTGCAGTGGGGACTGTGCTGACTGGGCCAAGCACAGAATATTTATGACAATGCCGCCGTGTAGGTGTTACACCTATTTTATGCAAAGAAGGAAACTGACCGTAAGGGACGCAGTGACTTCTCCAAGGTCACTTAGCCAGCAGCTTGCAAAGTAAGGATGGGAAATCGGGCCGAACTGGGAGACGGCTGTGTCTTTTATTCATGCTCAATTCCACAGTGTCAGGAGAGGAGAAGAGGAGGGGAATAGGTCATAGGAAGGAAACGAGTGGCTGGGAGGGTTGGGCAAGACTACTGTGGGGCACGAGGCAGGAGTCCGACTTCAAATCCAAACAAACACGGTGCGAGTCCACCTGCTCCATCTGAGAGGCTGAGCTGTGGAACCACCAGCCTGGGGCTTTGCCGACAATGGCCAGAGGGTGGCAGTCTCTGCCTGCTTTTGGCCACCTCTCAGGTGCTCGCCTGCTAACAGGGATGGATGGAGTGACTGGCCCCGGTCCTCAGCTCCTCCAGAAAGAGAGGCAGTAACTATATGCTGCTGAGACACTACAGGACCCCAAGCAAGGGCTTCTCGGGCCTCGATTGCCTCATCCAGACAATGGAGGCCAAAACACCACAGCCTTAATCCCTAGAAAATGGGCAGAAGCCACCCCACACTGAGGGACTGAGTTGCATACCCAGGGGAGCCAAAGGACAGCTGGAGGGAACAAGTCCTGGGCAGGGGGAAGGCGAGGGGCTGGTGGGCCCAGCAGTGCATAGGAACCTACCGTAACGGGGCGGGCCCACCGTGACTTTGGCGCATTCACCAGCTCACGTGGGAGGCTGCAAACACAGGCTGCCAAAGACACTGAGTGCAGGTTGGGTGGGCCAGCGAGGCCAGGGTACCGGGCCTGCCCGGAGGCCGTGGCCCCAAAATGGTGGCAGGAACTGGGTGGGGAAGCTGTGAGCCAGCGCCACGGTCTGCGGAGGATGAGGTAGGAGAGGCTGGGGGGGGACGAGGGAGGGGGGGGCT